GTTTTTAACATTCTAAAAGCTCTTTATTCCAAAGATACTACAAGCTAGTCTGTGTATTCAGCAGGTGTAATGTATTGTAAGTTGCTTCAGAAGTATTACAAGTATTGCGTACAACAATAAAACAGTGCATTGACACAAAAAAAAGGAAATTTACTTTTGGAACTTAAGTACTTTTAAAAGCAAGTACTTCTGTACTTTTACTTAAGTAAAAATCTGTCTTTACAATTTTTACTTGTAATGGAGTAATATTTGACCAGCAGTATCTGTACTTTCACTCAAGTAATAGAGTTGTGTACTTTGTCCGCCTCTGCATATATATATATATATATATATAAAAAAACATTTTTTTTAATGTTTTTTCTTTTTCTCTCATACTACACACCTCCATGTAATAGACATTGGCCATTGCTTGTTTAGTTTAGATGTACTTGTATTGTTTATGCTTTGTAAAGAGCATTGAGCACTAATTAAAATTGTTATATAAAGTTAACATTATAAGTATTATTATTACTATTATATATAGGCCTACAGTAACTCGTCAATTTGCATAACACCACAGGTCATGGGATGTCAACATGCTAGCACCCATAAGGGGATGGACCCGTTCCTATAGAATAAAAAAGCGTTTCCTCAACACATACGTTACCCATGTACCTACGTATAGGTAGAGATAGTACCTATCTCTTATGATAATTTAATGATTTAAAAAAATGTGCTGAGTGCACGGAAGAATCTAGTAGAAGCCAGTGAGCCAAACTTTATAAATAATGCATATGACTATGGCGCTGACCGTGCATGCGGATGCAATTTATTGTTGAACGTTAGAACAAAATGTATTCATTTATTCTGCTTGATGTTATTGTTCATATTTATGATAACGTAAAATAACAAAAACGGAGAACTTGTTAAGCCAGTGAACGAAGGCTAGAAAGCACAAATGAAGCTGTGGGTCCAGCTGAACACACAATAGGCAGCGCTGCATGTATTCGCCTTTGTGTGACGATAGTAACGCCTGTGTTCGGCTCTGAAATTGAACGGATACATACACAAACCCGTGCGCATTATAGTACAGAATACCAGCAGTTTCACTCGCAAGTGTATTCAGAAGTGACAAAAGAGCCTACACACGTATGAAACATAGTATAAATCAGATTTTGACAACACTTCTTATCTTTCGGCCCATCCGCGGAGAAAACTACAAAGGCAGCGATGCTCCTGGATCTCTTACCGTCGCCTGCCTTTGTCAGCTGCTCCACGGGTCTGCTCTATTTGTGTTGAAAAAAAGAAAAACGAACAGTTTTCCATCGGGAAAGTGGTGTTTTCGTAGTTCAGAGTGTGCTATTGAATCTTGGCACTGGTGCAGTCCGGTAGATGGAGGTTTTAGTCTGTCAGTTTGCTGCTGCCGTGAGGAATTTTCCGTGTGTTATCAGAGAATAATATTAGATCTTACCCTCGATAGTGTCACCGGGAGAAACCGCCGAGAGAGCGTTCCTTTGAGACACACTGCACTGTTCGGCTCTTCCAGTGTGGATCTACAAGCTTCTCTTTGGCAAAACTCGTTGGTGTCCCCTTGATGACGTCACGCCCTCCCGTCCATCAGACGGTGATCCTGACACTGCGCGCTCGTGCAGGACAAACACACCAGTGCTCTGGCATCAGCTCTGCAGGTGGGCTTGGCTGCTCAGGGCATCTGTTTGTGACATCTAAGTGCTTCACTCCACGGACTCACTATTTCTCAAAGTTAATTTTTATTGATCAAAATATTACTAGGTGCAGACACTAAATGCGGTCCTTTTTGTCTGTATATTGAAAAACATTTTTTTTTATTTGTAGGCTATTTCATTGCAAAGTTTGTACACTGTAACATTTTTAAAAACTAAAAATACAGTAAAACAAACTTTATTACATTACTAGGCTGACAAGACAGTACGTGCAATTTCACTTATATTTATATTATTTGTATAATCAATACATTTATAATATAAAAATAATATAAAGATTTTATATATTTTATATATATATATATATATATATATTAGTGCTGTCAAGCGATTAATCGCATACAAAATAAAAGTTTTGTTTACGTAATATATATGTGTGTGTACTGTGTATATTTATTATATAATATATATACATTCACACACATGTACATATATTTAAGGAAAATATGTTACTTTTGTATATTAAATATATTTATATATATAATTTATGTAAATATTTTCAATATATATATGCTGTATGTGTGTGTTTTTATATATACATAATAAATATACACAGTACACACACATATATAATGCAAACAAAAACTTTTTATACAGTGAAACTTAATTGGTTAACTTTGTTACATTAATATATATGATTTCAATGTCTCTCTCTCTCTCTGTGTGTGTGTGGTCCTGGTAAACCCTCCTACATTAAGGGGACAAAATCATAAACCATACAGAATGAAGTTTTTGAAAATCTAAAAATGCACAAAGTTTCCTGTAAGGGGTAGGTTTAGGTGTAGGGTGATACAGTTTGTAGAGTATAAAAACCATTACGCCTATGAAATGTCCCCATAAAACATGGAAACCCACTGTGTGTGTGTGTGTGTCTGTGTAGCTTACTGAAATACTGTGATTAAAAAGACTGATGTGATTTCCTTAAATAATGTTAAACAGTTTATTTAAATATTATTTCCTTTCAAATGAATAACTATAAACAAATATTGTAGTAACTCATGCTGTCATTTCCTGCATCAATTTATTTTCTAGCTCTCAGCTACGGTAGCATGCTGCTAGCATCGATGAAATGTGTGTATCAGAATAGTTTTCAAATCATTCTGAACACCATTTATCTTTTTTCTCATGATAAAGTGAACTGAGGTGTCTGTGATTAGGTCTCGAGCACTGCTGTAGCTTACTGAAATACTGTGATTAAAAAGACTGATGTGATTTCCTTAAATAATGTTAAACATTCAACTGTTTATTTAAATATTATTTCCTTTCAAATGAATAACTATAAACAAATATTGTAGTAACTCATGCTGTCATTTCCTGCATCAATTTATTTTCTAGCTCTCAGCTACGGTAGCATGCTGCTAGCATCGATGAAATGTGTGTATCAGAATAGTTTTCAAATCATTCTGAACACCATTTATCTTTTTTCTCATGATAAAGTGAACTGAGGTGTCTGTGATTAGGTCTCGAGCACTGCTGCTTTGTTTTGTACTTGCACGCTCTCATTTCTCTCGCCCTCATTCTCTTTAAGTGTCTTCAGCTCCTTGATAAATGCTTAAAAACCGTCCACTACTGACAAAAATACAGCAGTTCCTGGAAACAAAATGAGCACCTCGGTTCCGGCAGTGCAGAGATGCAGTGTCTTTGGATTCCTCAGCAGGAGAGACAGTGTTTGGCTGCCCTCCAAACGCTTCATCCTGACTGAGGTCAGGTTACTGCACTGAGAGTCAAGTCAGTGGTGAGAGGAGGAAATTAGACAAATGAAGAGCTCGTCTACATTTCCTCTGTCCAAACACCTGAGTCAGCTCTGTGAGAGTGAGAGGGCAAAACATATGTATACAGATAAACATGTAGCAGTGCGTACATTTCTGGAAAAAAAAAAAAAAATAACCAAGGCAGTATGTTGTGTTTCATTACTTCCACTTAAATTATGCATATGCTTATCATTGATCATTTATATTGTTAGATTATACTTATGCTTTTACTCAAAGCATAGATATAAATATACAAAACATATGTATACAGATAAACATGTAGCAGTGCGTACATTTCTGGAAAAAAATAAATAAAAATAACCAAGGCAGTATGTTGTGTTTCATTACTTCCACTTAAATTATGCATATGCTTATCATTGATCATTTATATTGTTAGATTATACTTATGCTTTTACTCAAAGCATAGATATAAATATAGATGATACTTTTATGCTCTTTTTTCCCCTTTAGCTTGCAGCGACCTCTAATGGTTACAAATGTAAATCATTTAGAATCAGACACTCATATTAGTATGTTTAACTTTGATTTGTTTAACAAATTAAGTTTTATTCATGGGTATCGTATCGTATACTATATTTATAAACCACTAAATTCAGCAGGTCTTGTCTCGATCTTTTAGGGTTTTCTCTGATTAAAAACTGACAAAGCTGAATATAAGTATATTCAAATTAGTGCTGTAATTATATGGCGTTAACGGATTTTTCTCTCTACATATGTAGAACATTTTATAGTATTGTACACACTGAATTGTTTATTCATTACATTCCACTTAAAGTGAAGGTGAATATTTGAAAACTGCGTAACACTACAAAGTAAGGGACAGTTTGTTCATTTTAAGGGTGTCAAGATGGTTTCCACAATTCAGGGATTCAATACATTTTGTGTTGTTTGCAAAAAAAGAAAAGAAAAAAAGTGGGCCAACAGAGCATTTCTCATTACAGCTCAGGGCTTACTTTCATGAGCGATATCGTCACAAATGTGTCAGTGTGAGACAGATAACAAGTGAAGTGTACGCCCAATTGATCTAAAACCACATGTGTATTTCCTCAGAAATGGTGTTGAAGAACAACAGTCAGTTGAGGATAATTATGTACATGCATTTTGGTAATCTAGAAAAATGCTGAAATACACTCAAACCAGTTTATTTCCATAATTTAATCCTTCTGTTGTGCTAAATCATTTTAATGAATATAATAAACAGACAACTATAAGACCAGATATAATTTGAACAGCAGAAAAAAAAATACACTGCATGTAAACAGACAACTATAAGACCGATATCATTTGGAATGTAGCACTGAAAAAAAAACAAAAAACAAACACTGAATGTAAATGTAGACACTAAAGCCCACAGAAACATAAAATCCTTAAAAATGAAGTGCATCTATCAACTCTAAAGTTTGATCTACATTTGAACACATTTGGTGAAGTACTGCTATATAACATTTTCTAGTACTTTTGTGGGGTTGGAGACATAGACATACAGTATTTGTCAAGGGCTAGCATAAACCTGTTAGGCAGGAAAACGTTAATAGTGAAAACTAAGAATGTCACATGGTTTACAGACACCTCTTTGATCATTTGATAATGTTCAGTGTTTTTCTGACCACACACTTGTGTGGTTCCTGTCAGCATTGCTTCAAGTTCAAGTTGCACTTTCAAATTCAAACCAAAAGGCTAAATGTTTGGAATACTGCCACACCTATGATGTTTATATTGCCAGTGAGGCTGTGTTTAGCTGCACAGTATCGAGAATGTAGAGACTGTCCCAAGAGAGGGATTCAGGAGATTTTACTATCACGCGTACAGAGGCTGATAGTCTTTCTTCTTGCTTCTGCAGGTAATGACACAGATGCTGAGCATCCCAAACAGCTGAAAAAGACACACAAAACAAGTTGCTGAAAAATTCATTGTCTGATAAACAAGGATGAAGATGCGGCTAAAATGAGCTGATGTACCTTAATGATGGCAAATCCCAGGATGACCAACATTGCATAACTAAGCACATCCTGAAGCATCTGCTCCAGTTTAGCTTCACATCCCTATAGGAACAACAGAGTACAGAGGTTTTTGTTTCCCCCACAAAAACACAAATTACATAATTTTAATATAATATGCTGATCTAAATACAAGTGTTGTAACTAAAAAAACTTGTAAAACTAACAAAAAATGTATTTTGTTATTTATTTGAAATAAAGCTGAAATAAAATAAAATATACATATTAGATGAAAAACAAATGAAAATAAGCTTAGTACTAAAATTCCAAAAAGTGAAATATCTAAAAAAAAATATCTAAAAAAAAAAAACCAAGCAAAAATAAAAAATTTACTGAAAATATACAAATAAAAGCCAATTCAAAATATAAAATATTATAATAGCATGTAAATAATACTAAAATAACTGAATAAAATAATGCACAACATCAGATGTCAAACCTGTGTGTTCAGAAGATCTAGTCGGGTGAGTTGGCCAGTGCATTGTGTAGCATTTGCTTTGCAGCAGGAATGTGGCACAGAGTTGTTATGCTGGCCATACCATGGTATTGCAGTCCAGTCTGTGATGTTATTCACCCCACAGCACTCCAACTGGAAATGTAAAAATAAAGAAGGACGAGGGGAGAATAAAGAGAATGAGAATCCTTCATGCATCTATTGCGCCTGTCATTTCCTGTGCAACCAAAAACGATATGAATGAACCTTTCAGCCTTACTTGAGATTGCAAGTAATCCACTGCATGGGCTTCAGTGTTCACACCGTCATACTTTTGAAAGACGCCGTTCATTGACTTTTCTAGGTCACCCTTAATCTGTAAACATAAGGAACGATTTCCAATTATTCATATTTCTACAGATTGTACATATTATTCATTATTTATCTATGAATTACTTACTCTTCCCCTGTAGATGAAGCCAAACACAAAAGCGGTCACCTCAGCTGCGAAGATTATCATGATGATGATAAGAAACTAAAAGCAAATTCAGAGAAAAGTATACAATATTAAAAATGATGAAACGAGTACTACCCCAGAAGCTTTCAAGAAGGAACAGAAACCACCATATGGTCCCTACTTTCTATTTTCGATTAAATAAACTGAAACAAAGGCTTTGGGCACAAAAGGTACACCGACAGATGGCCCATACTTACAAAGCCTAAACCGACTTTGGACTCCCTCAGAGTTGCACAGCAGCCAACGATCCCGATGACAAACATGACCACAGCCACACCGATTATAATGGCTGCTGGGATGACAGAGTACTTATCAGACACAAAGTCTTCAAAGTTGTTGTAGCTCTTTATCACATAAGAGCCAACATACGCGAGGGCCGCTCCAGCAGCCTGGAGAAAAAAAACAACAACAGGTGGGTCAAAGACATGATCCTCAGATTTATTTATTTGTTCCAAAAAAAACTTTATTAAAAGGTAAGGTTAGTTAAAGTCATGTTGGGCAACTCCACGAAAACATTATTTCAGTTTTTATTATTTCATGACATTTGTAAGGGGGAAAAAAAAGAAAAATAATGATTAAGACGTGTACACTCGCATGTATTTCCTTTGTAAGAAGAACGACATATGTTATTAGTTTTTACTTCCACTACACAACATGACATTTTAAAGCAGTGGTGCTCAACCAGCAAACTAACTAAACATTTACTTGCGTGTACAAAAAAAAAAAAGTTATTAAATGCATAATTTTCAAGAAAGGTTTACGTTTTTGACAAACTATTTGGCAAAAACATTTTAAAAGTTTTTTTTTTTTTTTTTAAGAATGTTGAAATGAGAAAGCATCACAAAGTAACATGCTTCTCTGAATTTCCAGTTCACTTCCATAATAACAATACATTCATCATCTCTCACGTGATGTCATAAGGTGTCATTTCATAACACGTACACTTTGGAATTCTTGGTGATGTATGACTCGCTAGCGCATGATCTGTTTCTTCAGTAGTCAGTCACAATGCACAGTCACGAGACTATGAGTAACCTTCTCCTGCCCTCTAATCTTTCCTGGAACGCTAGTCTTGTGCCTCAGCTTGAGCAGAAGCAGCACAGCAAAACAGAAACCCTTGAGGCATGAAGGTACACATGACAATGGCAATACATCAGCTTTCCACAAGACAAAGATGCTACAATAAGAGATTTCAGTTCCAGATTTTGTTACTTACTGCACTATTGTTAGAGATAGAAATAAAAACTGTCTCACAAAACCACAAGTGCATGATGTCCAAAAGGGCAGGAACAACAGGGCCCCTAAAGGCCTTTACCTTTAAAAAAAAAGTGTCTTGATTTCTGTGAATTTTAGCAATGGCTGGCTATATGTAGAGGAAAATATTAAAATGGATATGCAGAAGAGTTAAAAGTCATGTTTTTTTTTTTTTACAGAACTCCCTTTCCTGCCCATTTAAGTCTAAAATGAGTATGGGGCACTAAGCCAAATTAGATGACTAGGCCTACATTATGACACAGAAAAACATCTTTAAAATTTTTTTTTTTTAAAGTTTTTATAAGTTAGAAGCTCTGACAGTTACATCAACTCTGATGTAAACAAGTGTGAATACCTTTAAAGGCTGCAAACAACACGAGCTCGTTCATATGGTTTTCTTAAGCGTATAAACAAAGAGCAAACAAACGACTCGCCCTAAATTAAATTACATTTTAGAGAAGAGCTCGCTGTCAGAAGCAAGTTACTCTGACTAAACATTCATTTAGTGTCTGGAGGAGGGGAACAACCTCTGGATGAATGCAAACTATTGTGATGCTTATAAAGGACCCTTCTTCCTACAAATAGTAATCAACTAACAGCAAAAACAGCAGTATGGGTTTGTAAACCTCTAAGGGTACATTTATATCTTTCTAAAACAACATACAAGATAAATTATGTTAAAACGAACAACACAAACTTACCCAAAATGTTAAACTGAGAAATAAAAGAACGGTTTTAGATGTTAGAATTCCGCAATCCATGTCTGCTGCTGAGTGAGGGCCCAGATTGTGAATGTGAATGTCTCGGATTTGTGACGTTTTCTGAGTTTGTCAGTCAGTCACATGCTCCTCTCAAGCTTTAGGAGCGGAAACCCCCAGGTCCTAAATACCGTCGTGACACAATAAATTACATGTATTACGTTTAAACATATTTTGTTTACAGCAGACCAAAGTTCAAAAATATTATTTTATATTATTTTAACATAAGCAAGAAATGGAAAAGGGCAAATAATAGCCTACCAACAGATGGGTATTAAGCTTAGATGCCCAGTTTGTTTAATATCTAACGGATAAATGTTAAAAATAGCTCAATTTTGAAGTGTAAAGTGAGTGTGTAATTAATCACGAGCTTTATACAGGTTATTCCACTAGATGGTGTTATCTGAAAAGCAGTAGACTGTTAAGTGCTTTTAGTCGTCCTGGTTTAGACATAAGGGTTAGGGCACTGGGGCTGGTGTTCAAATATCAGCATTTAGTGGAATAACCTGTATAAAGCTCGTGCGTAATTATGTAACTTATTCCTTAAAAAAACAATTAAAAGACTAATTATAAGAAAAAGAAATGGTTATCCAAGAAAGCAATTATTTTATACTACAGTGTAGTTCAAGCAAATGTTAGGAGAAAATTTGAAATTTACATTAGGGTAAACTGATCTGTGTTGTACCAGAAAACCTCTGAGGACGTTGAAGAAAAAAAGCACAATTTCATCAAGGGGAATAACATATTTGATTAGAGCAACTGAGAAAAACTCTCACTTTACTGCTAATGACATGCAATATGACATAATGGAAGGAGGAAAAACATTTCAGTGCGGAGTATAAGAAAACTAGACAAGAATGGACGTCATGTTAGGACATCTTGCGGAATGCCACTCAAGAAGAACATAAAAAGCCAACTTATAATGCTAAAATTTGGATATATCTGTGGAGTCCCGGAAGAATGTTTTATGGAGTGATGTGACCAAACTGGACATTTTTGGACTCATGGATCAGTGTCTGGTACAAAAAAGGCTAAACTTATGAGCAGAAGGACACCATCTCCATGATCAAACACAGAGGGGGACCTGTCTTGTTATGGGGGTGTTTTGCTGTTGCAGGAAGTGGAAGTCTTGACTGTATGAAGGACATCATGGATTCTTTGAAGTATCAAGCCGTTTTGGCAAAGATTGTGATTTTTTTGGTGCAGAGACTGAAGCTTGATGATCAATGGTGTTACGTCCTTGAGTTGTGTTAATGTATCTTTTATTATTTCCCCAAGTCTCTCTTTTTACTTTCACTTTCCTAGCCACGTCCCATTGGCCCATGCCACACACCTGGTCCCCATGTTCCTGTGCTGCCATTGACCAGCTCTTTAATCTGATTGGTGCCCAGAGTAGACGCCATTCATGAGTCTCTAGACACTTCAAAACTTTATTCAACTTTTCATCCTATAGTTGTGTTGTAGTGAATTTTAGTATCCCGTGTGATTCTGCACAAAATTTAACTTTTGGGGATTGAATAATTTTGTAATTGAATGTTTAGAGCCAATTTTATGTATGTATGTACTGTATGCATTTATTTATTTAATTTCCCTCTACTTTACATTCAATCACTCAAATGTGTATTAATAAACATTCTAGGTTGCTGATGCCTTGCTGAATTGTTTTCATAACATTTTGTTCTTGACATCAAAATGTCTTGCATGTCAAGGGGTTGAATAATTCTAATTGCCACTGTATTGTGTATTGTATTGCCACTGTACTGTAACATTAATAATAATACATTTTGATTACATTTTGTTTTTGCTCACTTTCTCGTAAACTGGAAAACATAATATAATAAATGGGTTTTCCCTCTATAACCTCCCAATTGGTTCCTTATTGATAAGAAGTATGGTAACTGGAGTAGTCATGTTTAGATATTGGGCAAGGTTAGAACATGGTCATGCAGAATAAGCAGTCAATGTATGCTAATAATCAAGTAGTTAATAGTGAATAGTGATCCCTAATCTAAAATTTTACCAAAAGTGTTTAACATAAATGTAAATTCCCAACCAAGTTAAAAATGACTTAAATCGTACTTTTGACCTGCAATAAGATTCACTATCTCTCATCTGCTTATCTATAGAATACAATACTAATAACTGACAGTGAAAATGTAAATGCAAACATAACAGTATAAAAATAGCAACAAGCAGTAAAACAGCAGTAAAATAAGTTTAACATTAACCAGCAAAATGTATTCATACTTAGATGCAACCCGGAAAATAATTAATTTTTGAGCCTATTGGGAATTTCCTATGTTTTTTCCCCAGTGTGTTTTTTGTTTTATAAGTTAAATAAGACTAAAATAAAATCAGGTGTTAGTAACTATACTCATAATGTTATAAACATATGATATCTTGTTCTAGGGATTCTGTTTGTTATAATTAATAGATTACATATAATAAGTAATAACACATAAAAATACTAAAATATAATACCTATTTCACTTTCCCATAACATTGCAAACCATGCAGACTTGAAGTTATATCCTTTTTGAGTCAAGAGGTGACATTTCATCCTTTATTTGTTATGCTGTACAGACTTGCAGGTCATCAAACATGAACTTTGGTGCTTGCATGTGTTTGTGTTTCCGCTTTCTTCCATATATAAGTGTGTGTGTGAGAACAGAAGTTAAAAAGTGTATTGTGACTGCACCTTAAGCCAAGAAGACCAGGACCATCTTCAGAAGAACTATCTGTAAGACTGTTGTTTTTATTACTTAAACAGCATTTAAAAAGTATAATTATTGTGCATATAACATTTTTATGCACATACTGAGATTACATGGAATATTTGTATTGTATTTTATTTTAGCACCTTGAGTGTAAGAAAGAAAGATTAAAAGAAAGATGTAAGAAAGATTACAATAACATTTATTATTATTATTATTATTTTAAAAATACTGTTTAAAAGTACTAGAAAACACAAAGTTGATTAAAAGTGGCGGAACACTGGAAAGAAAATGGTTACAGCGTTTAAAACACTTTTTGTTTATTTAATTTAGAGAAATGTTAACCTAAAATCTTTATGGTGAAACGGTTCATGCCCACTGCCAGCTCTCTCTACATGTACAGCAGGCAAATAGCAAGGCTCTTTATAATGCTATCCACATCATCTTTAATATCTTATAGCCTAAATTAAGCTAAAAACAAGGCAAAAACTACAATAAATATATAAACATACCTATGTCACGTGTTTGTTGCTGTTTAGTTCCTGTTTGCCCCTATTTGGTTCAGTTCCTGTTCTCATTTAGTTTATCGTCGTTTATTCTGTTCACCTGTTTCAGTTCTCCGTAATTACGTTCCATGTGTTTACATACCCTGTGTTTTCCTCAGTTCCCATGTCTTGCTTTGAAGTTACGTTGTGGTGTTTTACTCCTATGTTCTTCTGTTTAACTCTTGGTTTGATCCTTACAGACTCACTTCTGGATTACCCTGGTACTGTGTGCTTCATCCCCACCGCATCGTGAAAGAAAGCAAGACCTCAAAAATTGAAAGTAAAAAACCTTTTTTGAATAGTTTTTGTTTTCTTGTTTTTTCCCTATGGCATGGAAACCGCTTTTTTTCATGGAAACGTTTTTCCTCTCCAAAGACGAGTTGGTTCTGGTCCCTAGGCGCGCTCCAGTGTCAGCTCCAGCCCCAGAGCTTGCCCCAGAGCTCGCTCCAGTGTCGGCTCCAGCCCCAGAGCTCGCTCCAGTGTCGGCTCCAGCCCCAGAGCTCGCTCCAGTGTCGGCTCCAGCCCCAGAGCTCGCTCCAGTGTCGGCTCCAGCCCCACAGTTCGCTCCAGTGTCGGCTCCAGCCCCTGAGTCCGCACCAGTGTTGGCTCCAGCCCCTGAGTTTGCTCCAGTCCCAGCTCCTCGAAAGCACCTTGCTGTGCCTGCTCCTCCAGAGCACCCTCCAGTGCCAGCTCCTCGTAAGCGCTTCCTTAACTCTTGGTTTGATCCTTACAGACTCACTTCTGGATTACCCTGGCACCGTGTGCTTCATCGCCACTGCATCGTGACAACTTATGTGTAAGACTTGCTGAAACAGTTATAGCTGTTATACTGAGATCAGTTTTTTGTCATCTTGAAAAAAATTATCTGCACCATCCATCACTGTGTGTATTTTTGGGTAACTGAGTTATTTTCCACAGGTGACAAGGTTCTTGGGTGTGACAGCATCTGCCTGGGAAGAAATATACAATTGTGTTCAAAGTCACAGTGTGTTTCTTCCATTTGTTTATGGAATTATGGATGAACCGTATCTTTCAATTAAGAGAACCATAGGCCTTTGCAGATAATGTACATGCTACAATTTGGACATAAATAAATAAATAAATAAATGCAAGCATCACATATAGATATCTTGGCTAAATAATACCAACCTAAAAGCTGAATGGTTTCCAATATTGTGGAAATACAATACAATTATTTTTATTATTATTTTGAATATATTATTATTTGTTAAGCATTACATCATATCCTGCTGTCTATGTAATTACTCTGCCATAAAACTGTGCCTCCATGTGATAAAAAGTGATGAAGAAAAAAGGCCTGTGAATGTCATAATCCACAACAAAAATATATTTCTGTCCATAAAACTGTTCTTCAACTGAATGTTAAAACACAGGCTGAAGGTTCTTTTGTCTGTTTGTGTTTCTGAGGTAGCCAATACACATTACTGTGAAGTAGTGTGAAACACGCATCTGCTGATCATGGAGTCGAGAGCCTTCTGTCTGCTGATGCTCTGCTGTTTTATCAATGTCTGCAACCTTCATCCTCTCATTCGTCCCAGTAATGGACTTCGTTTGTGCCGCAAAAACTCAAGTCTACCAGCGCTGGAGGTTCTACCAGGAGGAGGCTGGGATAACCTGCGCAACATAGACATGGGCCGGGTGATGAATCTGAGCTATTCCCAGTGTCAGACCACAGAAGATGGTGTCTATCTCATTCCAGATGAAGTCTTTGTCATTCCACAGAAAGTGAGCGGAGTGGAAACAAACTCTGAGA